TAAACTGCGAATTGCCGTTATATAATGTTAAATTAAAATGACTAAACTACGAATTGCCGTAATTAATGTTAAATTAAATTTTCTAAACAGTATATTATGTTAAATTAAAATGACTAAACTACGAATTGCGGTCTATAATGTTAAATTAAATTAAGTAAACTACGAATTGCCATATATAATGTTTAAATATAATGAATAAACTACGAATTGCGGTATTTAATGTTAAATTAAAATGAATAAATTACGAATTGCCGTATTTTATGTTAAATTAAAATGACTAAACTGCGAATTGCGGTATTTAATGTTAAAATAAAATGACTAAACTGCGAATTGCCGCATTTACGGTTAAAATAAACTGCCTAAACTGCGAATTGCCGCATTTAATGATAAATTAAAATTAGTAAACTACGAATTGCCGTTATATAATGTTAAATTAAAATGACTAAACAACGAATTGCCGTAATTAATGAGTATATTATATTAAATTAAATAGACTAAACTACGAATTGCCATATTTAATGTTAAATTATAATGACTAAACTACGAATTGCGGTTTATAATTTTAAATTAAATTAAGTAAACTACGAATTGCCGTATTTAATGTTAAATTAAATTGTCTAAACAGTATATGATGTTAAAATAAAATGACTAAACTGCGAATTGCCGTTATATAATGTTTAATTATATACACTAAACTACTAATTGCGATTGTTAATGTTAAATTATAATGACTAAACTACGAATTGCCGTATATAATGTTAAATTAAATTTTCTAAACAGTATATGATGTTAAATTAAAATGACTAAACTGCGAATTGCCGTATATAATGTTAAATTAAAATGACTAAACTACGAATTGCCGTAATTAATGTTAAAATAAGGTGACTAAACTACGAATTGCCGTATCTAATCTTAAAATAAAGAGACTAAACTACGAATTGCCGTATTTAATATTAAAATAAAGTGACTAAACTACGAATTGCCGTATTTTATGTTAAATTAAAATGACTAAACTGCGAATTGCCATTATATAATGTTAAATTAAAATGACTAAACTACGAATTGCCGTAATTAATGTTAAATTAAATTTTCTAAACAGTATATTATGTTAAATTAAAATGACTCGAATTGCGGTTTATAATGTTAAATTAAATTAAGTAAACTACGAATTGCCATATTTAATGTTAAATTAAAATGACTAAACTACGAATTGCCGTAATTAATGTTAAATTTTCTAAACAGTATTTAATGTTTAATTATAATGACTAAACTGCGAATTGCCGTTATATAATGTTAAATTAAAATGACTAAACTACTAATTGCCGTAATTAATGTTAAATTATATTTTCTAAACAGTATATGATGTTAAATTATAATGACTAAACTGCCAATTGCCGTATTTAATGTTTAATTATAATGACTAAACTACGAATTGCGGTTGTTGATGTTAAATTATAATGAGTAAACTACGAATTGCCATATTTAATGTTAAATTAAAATGACTAAACTACGCATTGCCGTAATTAATGTTAAATTAAATTTTCTAAACAGTATATTATGTTAAATTAAAATGACAATCTACGAATTGCGGTTTATAATGTTAAATTAAATTAAGTAAACTACGAATTGCCGTATTTAATGTTAAATTAAAATGTCTAAACAGTATATGATGTTAAAATAAAATGACTAAACTGCGAATTGCCGTTATATAATGTTAAATTATAATGACTAAACTACCAATTGCGGTTGTTAATGTTAAATTATAATGACTAAACTACCAATTGCTGTAATTAATGTTAAATTAAAATGACTAAACTACGAATTGCCGTATTTAATGTTAAAATAAAATAAATAAACTGCGAATTGCTGTATTTAATGTTAAAATAAAATGACTAAACTGCGAATTGCCGTATTTAATGATAAATTAAAATGAGTAAACTACGAATTGCCATATATAATGTTTAAATATAATAAATAAACTACGAATTGCGGTATTTAATGTTAAATTAAAATGAATAAATTACGAATTGCCGTATTTTATGTTAAATTAAAATGACTAAACTGCGAATTGCCGTATTTAATGTTAAAATAAAATGACTAAACTGCGAATTGCCGCATTTAATGTTAAAATAAAATGCCTAAACTGCGAATTGCCGCATTTAATGATAAATTAAAATTAGTAAACTACGAATTGCCGTTATATAATGTTAAATTAAAATGACTAAACAACGAATTGCCGTAATGAGTATATTATGTTAAATTAAATTGACTAAACTACGAATTGCCATATTTAATGTTAAATTATAATGACTAAACTACGAATTGCGGTTTATAATCTTAAATTAAATTAAGTAAACTACGAATTACCGTATTTAATGTTAAATTAAATTGTCTAAACAGTATATGATGTTAAAATAAAATGACTAAACTGCGAATTGCTGTTATATAATGTTTAATTATATACACTAAACTACTAATTGCGATTGTTAATGTTAAATTATAATGACTAAACTACGAATTGCCGTATATAATGTTAAATTAAATTTTCTAAACAGTATATGATGTTAAATTAAAATGACTAAACTGCGAATTGCCGTATATAATGTTAAATTAAAATGACTAAACTGCGAATTGCCGTATATAATGTTAAATTAAAATGACTAAACTACGAATTGCCGTATTTAATGTTAAAATAAAGTGACTAAACTACTAATTGCCGTATCTAATCTTAAAATAAAGAGACTAAACTACGAATTGCCGTATTTAATATTAAAATAAAGTGACTAAACTACGAATTGCCGTATTTTATGTTAAATTAAAATGACTATAAACTACGAATTGCCGTAATTAATGTTAAATTAAATTTTCTAAACAGTATATTATGTTAAATTAAAATGACTAAACTACGAATTGCGGTTTATAATGTTAAATTAAATTAAGTAAAATACGAATTGCCGTATTTAATGTTAAATTAAAATGACTAAACTACGAATTGCCGTAATTAATGTTAAATTAAATTTTCTAAACAGTATATGATGTTAAATTAAAATGACTAAACTGCGAATTGCCGTATTATATGTTAAATAAAAATGACTAAACTACGAATTGCGGTTGTTAATGTTAAATTATAATTAGTAAACTACGAATTGCCATATTTAATGTTAAATTAAAATGACTAAACTACGAATTGCCGTAATTAATGTTAAATTTTCTAAACAGTATTTAATGTTTAATTATAATGACTAAACTGCGAATTGCCGTTATATAATGTTAAATTAAGATGACTAAACTACTAATTGCCTTAATTAATGTTAAATTATATTTTCTAAACAGTATATGATGTTAAATTAAAATGACTAAACTGCCAATTACTGTATTTAATGTTTAATTATAATGACTAAACTACGAATTGCGGTTGTTGATTTTAAATTATAATGAGTAAACTACGAATTGCCATATTTAATGTTAAATTAAAATGACTAAACTACGCATTGCCGTAATTAATGTTAAATTAAATTTTCTAAACAGTATATTATGTTAAATTAAAATGACTAATCTACGAATTGCGGTTTATAATGTTAAATTAAATTAAGTAAACTACGAATTGCCGTATTTAATGTTAAATTAAAATGTCTAAACAGTATATGATGTTAAAATAAAATGACTAAACTGCGAATTGCCGTTATATAATGTTTAATTATATACACTAAACTACTAATTGCGATTGTTAATGTTAAATTATAATGACTAAACTACGAATTGCCGTATATAATGTTAAATTAAATTTTCTAAACAGTATATGATGTTAAATTAAAATGATTAAACTGCGAATTGCCGTATATAATGTTAAATTAAAATGACTAAACTACGAATTGCCGTAATTAATGTTAAATTATATTTTCTAAACAGTATATGATGTTAAATTAAAATGACTAAACTGCCAATTGCCGTATTTAATGTTTAATTATAATGACTAAACTACGAATTGCGGTTGTTGATGTTAAATTATAATGAGTAAACTACGAATTGCCATATTTAATGTTAAATTAAAATGACTAAACTACGCATTGCCGTAATTAATGTTAAATTAAATTTTCTAAACAGTATATTATGTTAAATTAAAATGACTAAACTACGAATTGCGGTTTATAATGTTAAATTAAATTAAGTAAATTACGAATTGCCGTAATTAATGTTAAATTAAAATGTCTAAACAGTATATGATGTTAAAATAAAATGACTAAACCGTGAATTGCCGTTATATAATGTTAAATTATAATGACTAAACTACTAATTGCGATTTTTAATGTTAAATTATAATGACTAAACTACGAATTGTGGTTGTTAATTATAATGACTAAACTACTAATAGCCGTATATAATGTTAAATTAAATTTTCTAAACAGTATATGATGTTAAATTAATATGACTAAACTGCGAATTGCCGTATTTAATGTTAAAATAAAATGACTAAACTGCGAATTGCCGTATTTAATGATATATTAAAATTAGTAAACGACGAAGTGCCTTATATAATGGTTTATTATAATGAATAAACTACGAATTGCGGTATTTAATGTTAAATTAAAATAACTAAACTACGAATTGCCTTATATAAGGTAAAATTAAAATAACTAAACTAAGAATTGCCGTAATTAACGTTATATTATGATAACTTAACTGTGATATAAACAAAATGATGATAATAAATAAACTTCGGCAATCAAATTAGATTTTATCAACTATTTTACCATACATTTACACTATATTTCCTTGAAAACAAAATTTAAACATTAACACCTATTATAATATATCATTTTATTCTTATTATATTTATAAAATTGACTACAATTTTGATCATTTATAGACATAATCCTCTCTATATATCAAAAAAAAAAGACTATTTAGATATTAATTAGGTTATTTATTTTACAATTTCAACATATAAGAATAAAAAAAATGTAAATATATATTTAGAAAATAACATAATTATTGACCCATTATTTTTTAAATATATATATTTATTATAAATAATTAATTTAGTTCATAAATTTACAAAATATACATTCATTAATTTTCAAAAAATTACATAACTAAAATAGTAAAATATTTAATAAGTTGTTTTGATCATCATGCTGGCAACCTTTTTAACTCCATACGAAATTTTCATACGAGGCTTTTATGAATGCATTTTATAAAATGTATATTTTGTGTCATAATTTTAAAATGAAAATAAGTTATACCATAAATCCTTTTGTCTTATTCGAAGCTCGGGTAGGTAGATCCGAATTACGCTTAGATTCATATATCAATTCCCTCTAATATTCTTTGTCGATCATTCTAATAACATATTAAAATGTCATATTTTTAAAATAAAATTAGTGAGTGGTATGCCATGGCTAAAAGAATCTCAATATTTCTAAATTTATTAATTCCCCTCTTATTTATCTTGTACACTATGTGTATTTTAATATAAATTAATACCTATAAACCTGAAAAATTATCTCAAATTATTAAAATATTTTACAAATATATTTTGCATTTAACATTAATTCAATTATATAGAGATAACAGAAATGTTAAAATAAATTTAATTCGGTGAGCGGGTCAAGTCATATTATTCAAAATTAGAACATATATAAATTGGTAGGACAATTTTTTAATGAGCAAATTTTTAAAACAAAAGACGTGGTAGCCGATTTTATTTAGAAATTATCTCAATGAAGACCTCTAATCTTCGATCATAATAAATCTCACTATATTCATATTATATATTATATAATATATTTATAAAGAAAAATAAATATAATACAAAAAATTAATTTACCATCATCGTTAGTACCATATTAATTTATCAGTGCTACATAACTATCTACGGTGGCCTTTTTCCCCTCATAATTTTTTTCACATTCAAATCACTTATTTTATGTCCCTATGACTTTTATCGGTATGGACATATATATCGTGCCTTCATCACATTTCTCATCATGGAAAATATAAATATTATCATCTGTAATCTTATATATAATTATATTAATATCTTGATACCTAACAAATTATCTCAAATTATTATAAATTAAACTTTGAATCTAATATTAAATCAATCAAATAATTATAGAGGTATATTACGGGCAGGTTACAATATATTTAAATATTTAGTAGGCGTCATATATATTTAAAAAATTCCCCATTAAGCCCTATAAACCTTGCTATATTGTTTTTGTTTATTCAATAAAATTATAAATAAATAAGAATATAATTTACCAAGATTTAATTGCCATAATGCGAGGGTCAATCGACAGATATCGAAACTATGTAAATCTTTGTCTCCTCATAGTTTTTATCCCCAATAAAAGCATTAATTTGGTGTCCCATATTCGATCTCGTCATAGAATACATTTTAGTGCTTTAATGACCTTTCTCGCCATAAATTATTTATTTTATCTCCTCATGATCTATCACGCCATCAAAAGCACATATGTTTTTCGTGATCCTTCACGCCATATTATTTAATAAACTTTATAATTTTTTTTAAAATTTTCTAGATCTTCTAAATTGAGATAGTTTTTTCGAACCTTTAGGTCTCATCAGCGTTATTTTACCATATGACGATGTAATATATTTAGAGATTGTTGTTGATTTATGATTATTTGAACCTACTTCAGCTGTAGATTCCTTTACAAATTTTAAAAGGGATACCCTATCATGTTTACTTAAATCACAATCGATATAATAATCTCCTAGTCCAATTACTGCTCGTTCTAATTCTTTTTCATAGTAAAAGACTTGGTCGGATATAATGGTTATTAATGTATGCAAAGGAACAACCTTTTTTATCATCATCTTTAGGACACTATTCATTGATTCACTGTTGTTATTAGTATAAACTTGTGATATAAACTTGTTCTTTAAAGGTATATACACGTATTCATAAAGTTTTTTTTCGAAACTTTTAAACATATTCTTAAGAAATTTATCATATTTATTAACTATGCAAATATTTCGAAATTTTAACATTTTTTTTCTAAACATAATGTCATCAGTGGAATATATTATTCCATTTTCACCAAAAATCATATTACTTATATATTCTCTTAATCTCATAGGGACCCCTTGACTATTTTTCAAAGAGATTGACAAATTTCTCCTCATGTGAAGTGTGCATAATAAATGTTTGGAAGTATTAAAATTTTTACGTAAAGCCGAAACCATGGCAAATTCTTCGTCGGATCCGAAAATAATATTCTCCACATTAATTTGGTGCTTTTTAAAAACACCCTGTAGCTCAGAAAAAAATATATTATATGTCCGGTAATCTGAATTACCGTGCAAAAATATTGGACCGAAAAATAATGGATGTACTTTATCTTTCAACCCCGTTTTACAAAGAGCTATATGCTTGAACACAGTAGGCGTCACAAAGAGTTCGCTTAAATTGTAGGTTTTATCAACGCTAAGAATACTTCGTTGCTTTCCCGTACAACAAAATTTTATATTTTCAAGCATTAAACGAGTATAAAGTACTATAGCTATAACTTTATCAGGTCTTATACATATATTTTTGATTATCGGATAATCATTTATATTATTTAAAATTAACAGAACTTGATCTGCGAAATTGCTACTATAATCGGTATCATTTTTGTGCAATTCGTTATATTTTAAGTTTCTTATTTGTTTTGTATTTCTTGGTATATTATATATATCTTTTGAAACTATAAATTCCTTGTAAATTTTTCTTGTAGGTTTATCTATAACAACCTTTTTAATTTTCTTTATAACGCTAGGAGGCGTACGAATATATATAATATTCTCATATTTCCTATTCCCATGCCTCAGTTTACCAGGATATATTCCTATGTATTCTACTAAAAAAGTAGGTTCTATTTTCAAAGAACTTTCATCTTGCAATATCTTCAAATATGATATTTTTTTCTATATTTTAGATCCTTTTTTAATGTACAACTATATTGACATAAGCAAACTACATTATTTAAATTAGGTTGAGGGTTTATAGTACATCTATGATTAGAATTATGTATTTTTCTTAATATGTAAAATACTTTATCTATCATTATATATGGACCTTTTCTTTCGCCATTTTCTAAATCAAAATAACGGTTACTACCACCCGTTTTTTTACCTGTCCATGCTCCACAATCATCGGGGAAACAACTTTTTAAACCATCCTTATTCATTTTTAAATTAATACTATTGTTTACAATAAAAAAAGTATTATTTTTAGTCCCTTGTGGAATTGATTCTAGAATATTTTCTGGTTTCAATAACATATTCAATAATTCATTGTATGTAAATCCTTTACAATGATTCTTAGTGTATATTACACTATCAATACAGTTATCATCTAGGGAATCATGCTTTATTAGCTTATTAACCTTCATATCTTCAAAAGACTTATTTAATAATTCTTCTTTTTTATGTAAACCTTTAGAAAGGATATCTGAATATTTCACAAGATCTTCATTTAAAATATCGGATATATTAGCGGTAAAAGCCACTAAATTTTTATCTTTTATAGGCGTGGAATGTATTATTCTTTTATTATTCCACAATCTTGGTGACGGCAATTCATAATCATAGTCATCGTATATCCTTTCCGATTTAATATCCTTTATATCTGTCAAATCGACTTTATATGGATATATTGGAACAATATCTATATACTTCACAGATTGTTCAAGTGAAATATATGATATATAATATATATCTAATATATCTGTTTTTATTATTTTCAATAAATCCTCATCTGAAATATCTGAGTAATCTTTTAATATTTCTTCATTAAATTCATTTGCTTGTGATGTTTTCAAATTATTGGTAATATTATATGGTATCGATTTAACCACGGTTTTATTATCATTTTTTTTAAATGGATATATACCTAAGAAATCAAATTCTTCGCTCGAAATATATGAACCATCATCAGAGAGTGTTGGTGGAGACTTTTGAAAATCATAATAAGTATGGTCATATATATATTTATCACATTCGATATCCAAAATATCTTTATCATCATTCTTTACCCTATATGTCTTACATACAGGTTGCAGATATATTATATGATTACATAGCATTATCCCTATTGAGGTTTTTGTCCATAAAATATTAATGCCCACTGGTTGCCATATAGGTACAGATCTTCCATAAACCTCACGATTATATGGATTATTATCTTTGGTTTCATGAGCAACAATCATTTCATTTAAGTGATAGGACCCAATTCCTATCTGTAAAGCTGCGCTTGCAGCATATAAATGAGCCATCTCGGCCCACCCTTCAATCGGCGTCAAAACGTCCTTTAATAATTGATCATAAATAGTGTCCCAAATATTTAGGTCATTGTATTTTTTGCTTAATATATATAGGGCAGAATTTATATCGTATGTTGACTTATAAAGTATCATTTCTATGGCAGTTACGCATCTTATATATAAATGATGAATTTCATCACCATAAATTGCCAATGAAAGCGCTCTATAGCAGCAGTTTCCATCTCCTATGCAAGACCTAGGTGAATACCTTTTAAGTAGTTCCGGGCGAAGAGCTTCAAGCAATTTTTTAGAAATTTTATCTAATTTCCCTACATATTGATTATCATTTTCACGAGAGGGATGCTTGTAGTACATGCTAATTAAGGCTAATTCATTGTTAGACGTTGATACATCAGGGGATATTTTTAATCTCATAAATGAGTCTTCTATTTTATAACAATATCTGCAAAAATATGGTGCTTGTAATAAAGCCCAAGTTCTATAAGATTTATCAGGTACACTGAGGCAACACTTATGAACCCATGTATCACAGGTCTTGCAAATACATGCGTCAGAATTGATAACTTTTTTACATTCTTTGCAGAGTAATTTCCTATTTAAATATAAAAATTGTTTATATTAATTGTATTTATATTTAAATCAGAGATGTAGGCCCAAGCCTAAGTCCGGTCCGGGTACACGAGTCGGGCCTTATTTTATTTTTTGTAATATAAAAGGACAGCGCCTTAAATTTTTTTTAAATATTCAGGCCGGGGTTATATTTATCCAAAATTAATATGTTATTTTCAATAATTCAATATTTATAAAGGTTTCATTTATATTGATCATTTATTATAAGGTTAAATATTCCTGTTATTATACAATCAGATGAACCAATTTCTAATGTGAATCATACGTTTATTGTATATAAACATAAGCAAAGAATTATACATTCATCTAATTGTGCTACGTAAAACGATATTATAATGAATAAAGAACAATAAAGGTATTTTTTATTTTCCCCTTAAAATTTCCTAATTTATATGGTTCCACGTCAGTTTGGCCCATAGTCATAATCACTTTAGCGCGGCGACAATTCGGCGCTTATATATTACAGTTGCAATTTATTATAAATTTATTGGTATAAAAAAAGGATCATTAAATAGAAGTCATTTTAAATGTTGGTCCTATTAATTATTTCTTCATTTTTTTACAAATATCTTTTATTTACTAAATATGTGATATCAATTAAAAATTTAATAATATTTTAAAAAAATTAATAACCAATATTTATAACCACTTCCTTGCTGGACCAATTTACCACATTATAAGGTATTTTGATTATTAGCCAATATTATGTAAGCCTGAATATTTTGCGCAGTAGGAAAATTTTGGACTTTCATCTCGAATCTTACATATTATTATGGCCAAAATCTTAATCGACCGTTTTTAAAAGTAGACCCAAATCGGCCGTTTAAGAACACTAATGTTGATCCAATAAAATTAAAATTAAGACTGACTCATTTTAGATTTATTAAAAATCTAAAAAATATTTCTATTAATCATTTAAAAAAATATAAAGTATGCTTAGGCTAATTTTTCGATTTGCCTAACTTTGATCGTAAAGTCATTTGATCGTAAATTTTGTCCATTTTTTTCTGATTGGTCTATTTAATCGCGGTAAATTAAAATCATTTATAACCCTAACCCCAACCCTAACCTTAACCCTAACCCTTACCCTAACCCTAAACCTAACCTATAAATTAAAAAATCGTCCATTTTGACCAAAAATGGACAAAATGGACCATTTTACGATCAAAATAATACGATCAAAGGAAACCCTCCCAATTTTTCCTATTATAAAATAATAAAAAACGAATTTACCAACATTTTTTTATTTTTATATAAATCAACTATAGAAAATATAAATATACTATATAAAACATGCTAAATAATTAACATTAATTGCAAATTAAAATTATATGCGATCCCCCTTAAATAATCATTAATCGGCGATTTAAATAGTCAGATACAATTAATATAATATTTTAAGCTATATCCCGATACACCTAGCTTGATCTCGGGTGGGATATTAGAAATATATGTTGTCTAAAATTAGACGGGAAAAGGGGGATTTAATATTAAACATAATGTTGGTTTACTATCTTATCGTTTTTATCAAAAAGGTATAATGTTTTTTTAAACTTTTATAATATCATTTTCAATTAGTAAATTTTATAATTTCAACAGCCATAATATAAATAAATTGCGCGTTAATTCGTTTTTATAATATAAAAAATTGGTCTTGGCACCGGGCCGATTTGGGTCTATTTTTAAAAACGGTTGATTAAAATTTTAGCCAAAATATTTTGTTTTATTTTGTTTGATAGAGGTCCAAACCTTTCTTACAACTATCCGCATCCAGGCTTATATAATAATGGCTACAAATCATAATAGATTAGACTGGGGTTATATAAATCCCGGGGCTTGGCATACCACTTAATAAGGTTAAAATTGTATCCTTATATAGTTTTTATTAGTTTACATCTATAGACAATAAATCTGTTGAAATATTTTATTTAATTATTACCAAATTTATATAAAAAATAAAATATTTATGAATTTTTCAAAAACTTTTTACATGACAGAATTTTAATTTCAATTAAAATATATAATCATTTTTATGTAAATTAATTCTTAGCAAAGTTTAAATACTCTACTATAATTTGGGAAAGTTTTATGAGTATTTATTATATCTAGATATTACTTCAACCATGATTAGTCAATTTAGAGCTAGACCGGCTAGCTAAACCATAAACGTCTCTTATGGCAGTTAATAAAAAAAAATTCAAAAATCATAATCTCTCCTTAAGATTCTTATTTATTTATGTCTAAATGTTTATTAAATTAACCAAAATTAAGTTATTTAGCTTCAATTTATAAGTTTATGTTTAACACTGCGCGGAATAGACGCCGCGCTGAATTGACGCTGCGCCGATTTGACGTGATACCAATTTATATAATGGTAGACCCTTTTCGAAAAATAAAATATTGAATCTTCCTATGCTTTTCATTTAAGCCAAAAAATAATAATATTAGTTTCATCTACAAGCTCTCCTAGTGAGCATATATTTTCTGTAGATAGGTTAGCCTTAAACTAAAAAGATCTATTTATATTAGTATAATAAAAATTAAATTTTTTCCAAAAATATTTATTCCATATGAATTATTTATATTTAGTGTTCTTGAAATTTTATAAAATTTAAGTAGTAAAAATAAAAATGATAATTTTTCTTAAGTCTATATAGAAAGATAACAGACAAATTTGAATCAATATATAATTTATTATTTTTCCCCTAAATTTAATATGGGCGAATTGGAGACAAATTAGATAAACTTTACAAAAATACAGCATATTTTTACACTTCGCCTAATCGTGCTAACTGTCAACCCTGCATTCACAATTAATAATGGTAGAACTTGAAGAATATATGAGCTACGTAGGAAAAGTTTCTTGCACAAACTTAATTTTTACAATTATATTCTTAAACACCAAATTTCATAATAACTGATAAAATCTGTAAATATTATACAGGTGCTTATATTTATTAGAAAATTAATTTTTTCCCTAGAAAACAAGCAATTAGTAATTAATTTACCTATATTACATAAAAGTTAAAGCCCTATTAAAAATGTAAATGGCACAAGTAAGGGAATTGTGCCATAAATGGCCATGTTTTAAAACTGGCCACCACGCTATAACTTTTTATCTATTGCACTTATTTCTCTCAAAATTGGTCAAATGTTTATATATTATCTAATTTTTTTTTGATCGTAACATATCAACAATATGAAAAAGATATCAAAAATTATGACCTTATGATCATATAAAAACATAAATTAACAAATACTAAAAAAACAATAAAAAGAAAAATCTAAAGAAAACTAATGATGAATGGCAAGAAAGCTATTAAAAAATCTAGAAATGTGAAGATATGCCTGCAATGTGAAGAATGGACTTATAATCAATGTACAAATTTCAATGATTTATATGTTATGTATGTAAATAAAGATACTATAATTCTTTGTTTTTAAATTAATAAAATGGCTTTTATTATTGTTGTGTATTAATAATAATAAGTAAGTTTATTAAACATCATGAATGAATAAATTTTTGGAAAATCATTTTTACATGTACATAGTTAAGATAATAATTTATAAAATCATTAAATATATAGTTGTTAATTTTGTATTAACAAAAAGATAATTAAGATATCAATTTATAAAATATTATCATTAAATGTTGGGATGATAACCCAAACTCACACCCTTGATTTTTGCTGAACTGAACCCAAACGCGAACCCTTTTTTAAAATTTAGGATTCAGGCCCAAGCTTTTTTTTTGATTTTAAACTTTTATTTTAAATTATATTAAAATAATATATAAAATACATGTAATTTACCATTTTATTTTATAATTTTTTAAACCGTACAGTTCGCATCCCTCATTAAATCAATAATAAATTAAGATATTTATACTATTTATACTATTTATATATGTGTATAATTAAATTTTTATATACCTCAAATATAAAGAAATATATCAGATAGGTCAATTTTATAATTTACTTGGTTACTTTTATACGATATACCATTTGATTGCCTTACTAATCAATGTTAGTTTATCTAAGGATAAAAAATAACATTAGAAAATATGATATGATTTAATTTATTAGGAACCCTATAATAAATATCCGAGATCTGCAGGCTAGGCCCTAAGCCTGGCCCGGGTCTGGAAAACATTAGTCCTAGTCCTAAATTTATCTCATAGTCAAACAAAAAATTTATCAAAAATTAGAATCACCTAATATAATAACCCAAATTAAGTTATATATTTTTTTTTATGTGATACATGATATTAAGCGCACTAGCCCTAAACGTCGTAAATATAACAAAGTTATATATACAATAGAGTAACGCTTGGTTCTCTTCTGAAAAAATCCATCAAACTGGGATAAAAAATGGGAAAATAATTAAGAAGACCATCCACGATTTTTGGGCAAGCCGCAGTTACCTGTGCGTGTAAGTGGCAAAGCCATTCTTAAACGCCCATGGGTAATAAAAAGGACAGATTAAGGCCCATGCCCGATTAAGTAAGTTTTGATTATGGAAGGGTTGTATTAAACAAATTTATGTTTATTAAAAAAATAAATATTAAGACTTACCCCAAAACTATAGAATTAAATATTCCGAACATGTTTTAATTAAGCCAAATATTGTATACATCGTTTCCTTTGATATAGGAATGGATAACGTAGAATTTTTGTTATTATGGTGGGCTAATTGTCTTAAACTAATAATACTATTTTTTAAATTGTAATCAATTTTTAATGCATTTTTTATTCAAGTATAAATTAATATAAAATAATATAAATCAACACACATGTTTTTTTTATTTTTAACAAAAACATATTGTTTATTTTTATCTAATGATTTTAAAATACGCGAACCAAAATAATATAAAAAATAGCTTGTCATCATACACAAAATAAAATTTACAACTTTATTTGAAGAAAAAAAAAATTAAATCTGTTGAGTTTATAGTTTCACATATAATTCTTGCCTAGCCTAAATATTTAAATAAAAAATATTATCTTTATAATTTTAAAAAAATACATATGGTGAATTCCATATCAAATCAACCAAAAAAAGTCGATTCTCAACCCGACCCCCTTCAATTTTTCTTAAATTTTGAATAATAGTAGTATATACTATAACTAAGAAAAAAATTAAATTTTACCTCCCAACAAGGTATACCCGCTAAGATATGGGCGTTTAAAGCGCGGAAAAATGGTACATTTTTAACAAAATGTGCCTCATTTATTTTCAAATATCTCGAGAAATAATTAAGTTAGAGAAATAATTTAAATTTTATTATGTAGCTTAATAATAGTTCTTTAATATGACATACAAATAAATATGATATAAATCTAATTAATATCGAAAACCGGAAATGGCCATAGAAAAAAAAGGTATTTTTTTTGTATATAGATATTTCACTGCTTTATGATTTTACAAAATCCTAGACTGGGATGAACATGGGCCTAAGAGTTATGAGTCTTTATATGGCTAAAATTGAACAAATTTAACATAAATATCTTCATTTAATAAATATTTATGAAATAATATTTATTTAAAAATTATATCTAAATGATAGGCCCTTACTTTTTTTTATTTTTAACAAAATTTTTGAGAAGTGGCTGGGATAATGTGATTTATTTAACATTCAAGTTATATGTGACTCGAAATTACTTGACAAAATAATTCTAAACATATTTATAACTTTAGCAGTTAGTTAGGGAAAAGAGTATTCTCTCGAATCCCAATATTATTAAGCCAAGTCGTATTATTTAAGAAGATATTATGGAGAAAGTAAAAAAAATTTATGATTCTTAGGAAAATAGTAGGCTTATGTCAGGCAAAAATAATTTTATATCAATGAATGTAAATTGGAAAAAATCAAGTTGAGAAAAGACTAATTTTATATAATATTAAAGAACTTTTCATTCACTTTAGAGAGACTCATGACGATATACAGTTAGGTTTGAGTAGATTTGCTTTCTTACGACCTAAAAACTGTGTTTTAGCAGGTGGTCCAGGTACACATACCATGTGTATCTGCACATTACATCAAAATTTTAGGCTTATTTTAATAGGTGGAGAATTACAACAGCTAACAAACAATATTTGTCATTATAATTATCCTTCAATCAACGATTATAAACATTGTATTGCTGAAAGTCTTTGCAATTCAGCCCAGCCAGTATGTTATTTAAATAAATGTAAATTTTGCCCCGGATCTTCCAAAATAAAAAAAAGACTTATTATATTATTTGACATAAATTCAATCGATTATTAACATTCAAACAATGGTTAGCAGTTGATCGAACTACCCTCAAAACGCTGACAAAATCAGCTGACGAATTCGTAGATTATTTAATTGAGAAAACCAAAATTTATTATTTTTCTTGATGGAGCAGTAACCATATAAAAATAAAAAGAACTGTATAAATCTATAATCATGAAAATGGTTTTGGGATAAAGGCGGAGTGGAATTTTTTTGCAACGGCTCATGGCAAAAGTCCCTGCAACAGTTTAGGGGGGTTACAAAACGACTAGTCGAGCAAGCTTGCAACGCCCATATCAAAATCACATATTGACAATAATGGATTTATTTAACTGTACAAGAAATAATATATGGAGTAAATTAGATATTTGTAAGCAATTATGAATATATCAACATGGAAAATCATATAGAAAGCAGGTTTTTTTAGAGCAAAAAAAATTTCGGGAACACAAAAGTACCATGCTTTTATTCCCCTTGACGAAAACAAAATAAAAGTCAAAATTTATTTAATTCTTTAGATGATTTAATATTTGATATATTTTATACATAATTATGAATTATTATATTATATGTAATTATGCATTTCAGACAAATAAAGTTATAAATATGTTTAGAATTATGTCAAGTAGTCACAATATAACTTGAGTGTTAAATAAATTACAATATCCCAGCCACTTCTCAAAAATTTTGTTAAAAATAAATAGACATAATTTTTAAATAAACATTTCATAAATATTCATTAAATTATTTATGTTAAATTTGTTCAATTTTAGCCATATAAAGAAGCATAACTCTTAGACCCATGTTCATCCCAGTCTAGGAATTTGTACAAACATAAAGCAGTTATCTATCTACAAAAAAAAATTTTGAAAAAAAAAATACCTTTTTTTTCTATGACCATTTCCGGTTTTATACTTCCGGTCGATATTAATTAGATTTATATCATATTTATTTGTATGTCATATTAAAGAACTATTATTAAGCTACATAATAAAATTTAAATTATTTCTCTAACTTAATTATTTCTCGAGATATTTGAAAATAAATGAGGGACATTTTGTCAAAAATGTACCATTTTTCCGCGCTTTAAACGCCCATATCTTAGCGGGTATACCTTGTTGGGAGGTATTTTTCTTAGTTATAGTATATACTAGCAGTATGCAAAATTTAAGAAAAATTGAAAGGGGTCGGGTTGGAACCTTGGTTGATTTGATATGGAATTCACCATATACAAATATCTAAAATTGTTATGTTATTTGTAAATATAAAATTAGTGAGTATAAAATATACCAAGGGAGCAAACGTATCTTCATATACCATTCTAATTTTATCTCATTTTTGATATTAAAGTCATTTATCTTTTAAATAAAATATATATTACTTTTCTTGCTATATAAATTTATTTATTAGAAATAAATAAATATTTTTTTTTATTTGATAAAGATATTATTAATTACCTATGGACGTCTGTAAAGGGCTTCTAATCATAAACATTCGGCTATCGGATCGTATATAAATATTTAAGAAAAATATTTATTCACCATCCTTATTATAAAGTTTATATATTCAAGATTGCTATATAGCAAAAACAAAATCAACCATTGAAATAATTTATAATAGAGAAATATTTTTAAATATACTTGCGAGAGGGAATAATCTCTTATTTTAAAAACAATCAATAGGTTTTTTTTAGAGTACCCATCGAAAATCTATTATATGATGTTCATATATATCCTAATTGTTTGGTAAATTCTATTATAAAGTTATAAAGATATAAAAATATTTATAATTTATACCATATACATTTCGGTTAGCGCTATATATCGAGATTAGTCAAAATTTCTTCTTTGAGTCATGTTGGCATCTTTGTCATATAATTTTATATTTAAACATTTATTCGCTATCCAATGACCTTTCTCGCCATATGTATCCTCATGACCTTTCTCGCCATGGAAAGCAAATATTTTATGCATTCTATATACTCTTCTCAATGTAACTTATTTTTTAGTACACAGATATATCACAGAATCATCATTTGAATCTAAATCGTCATAATTAAAATCACACGGGTATTCTAAAAAAATACTCGTTTTTTCTTTAAAAACACCTACAAAGGTGCTAAATTATCATCGATATCTTTAAATTCATCACTAGATATATCTGACATATCATCTTTAGTATATTGTGATAAACTATTTGATGAAATTTCTGAGTAATCATCATCTTTACTCGAAACAACGGATATATCGTCTCCAGTGATCTGTGTTAAATTATTATCAGAATCTAAAATATTCGATTTATAATTTTTGGTCATTAACGCAATATTTATCTTAGGGATATCTGTATATCTAGATTTAAAAGGCATCGCACAATGAGCAAGATCGTCAATTGAAATATCCAAAAAATCTTCAAACGGCTTTTTTAATATTTCTTGAATATTATTTTTTTTTGGTGAGGAAGATTTTTTAATCTCGGTATTGATATTTATCAATTTTGACGTTATTACGTTTTTATCTATAGGTAAGACCTTATTACAGCTATCTGATCTATCTATATTCATATCAATATCTATATTATCTTCTTTTTCATATAAAAAGGCAAAATGATTAATAACGATATGCTTTATAATAAGGGGATTAGTCGTCGTCCAAAGGATGGCACGATTAATGGGCTGGTCAATCGACACACCCCTACCACGTATATCCCTGTTATAAGGGTTATTTGGAAATATACTTTCCGACCTAAATGGTTCCATTAAACCAGCACTAGTTGCGTAAATTTCTGGCAATCCAGCCCAAACATCGATGTTTATAATAGAGTTTAATATTTGTTCATATGAAGTTTCAAAATTTAATAAATCATTTTTTAAGATATAATTGGGACTATTGAAACTATAATATTCGTAGTTCTGTATCACTTCTAGAGCTGCCTTAACTCGAACAAATATATATAAATCAGAATCCCCATATATAGCCAGAGATATTGCTCGATAAAAGCAATTCCCGTCACCCAATACCCTAAGGGGTCTATATTTTTCTAAAATATTATCTCTTTGATAATATTTTAAAAAATTTATAGCTATTTTATCTTCTTCACATGTATTAATATTTATAGCTCTAGGGTGAGGTTTTAAATTATAAATAATAATATATCTAAGCTCATTAGTTGCTGTTTTTTTATTCGGTGAGGATTTTAACCTGGCTAGTGAATCTGTTAATTTGTAACAATTTTTACAAAAAAAAGGAGCTTTTAAAGAGGCCCAAATCATACAATATGCCAAGGGTGCTTTTAGACAGCCTTTGTGGATTCTTAAATCACATATTTTACATAATATTGTATCATGAATTTTTCCCTCAGGATCTAAGGGATTTTTACATTCTTGGCAAATCAATTTCCTGTTTTGAATATATAATATAATATTTATAAGTTATGTTAACCCATATTAGTTAAATTAATAATTTTTATGTAAAAATAATTTACAT